TCTAAAAGCTATACTTGGAAAGTATAAACCTCGTTTTCAGCAGCTTTAGATATGAATAATGCAAACAGTTTCAAACAATATTTTATTAGATTTTGATACAATAGACTTTAAATATTTTTTTTAAAACGTAATTTTAAAATAGAAAAAGCGCTTCCATTAGCACTAAGTATATATTGTTAAATATGTATCAAATATATTTGTATTAGTATACAAAACGTTTGTCAAATAATAAATGACTTTTATTATTTGACAAACGTTTTGTATACTAATACAAATATATTTGATACATATTTAACAATATATACTTAGTGCTAATGGAAGCGCTTTTTCTATTTTAAAATTACGTTTTAAAAAAAATATTTAAAGTCTATTGTATCAAAATCTAATTGAAGTAAGATTCTTTTAGAAACTGTTTTAAATTTTTTTAAGAGTAGTGTTCTTTATTAAAGTTTTTAATAAAAATTTTCCATAATAAAGGTCCTCGATATTGAATTCAATAAGAACTTATTATTAAATTAATTCTCGGAACAATAAAGTTATTCTCTGAAACCTTTGTTGGATACTTATGAGATATTTCGCTAAAATAAGATTGAAATATAAGTGGAGATATTCCATGTTTCATTTTAAACATCAATAGCAAAGTTTGGTAAATGTTTAGTTTATAAATGTTTAAGGCCTTAAGACGATTTAATAGTGGTTCGTAATAAACAGTTCTGTTTGCCCCAAATACAATTCTACAAGCATTCTTTTGTTTATTATAAAGTTTTTTGAGTTTTCCGTAATTCGTACTTCCCCATGCAATGTTGCAGTAAGAAAGATAGCCGTGAATGAATGAAAAATAAATTTTCATTAGAACTTTTGTGTTTAAAAAAGGTTTTCTTTTATAAAGTACGGAAATATTATAAGAGATTTTACTTTCAATGTATTGGATGTAAACTTCCATGACAAGTTTTCATCAAGTATTACGCCTAAAAAGTTAACAGCAGATTCCCTTTTTACATTTGTTTTATTGAATAAAAGATTTGGCAGTTTAAGTGGAATATTATCAACTTTATTTGGTTTGTGATACAGGATGAATTTAGTTTTATCTACATTTAGTGAAAGGCGGTTACTTATAAACCATTCATTTACTTTAGATACTTCTTTATTAAAAATTTTAAAAAGAATTTTCATATCTTTGTGTGAATAAAACAGATTGGAATCGTCAGCAAAAAATATAAGATATAACTTTTTAGATGCTAAAAATGAATCATTTATATACACTAGAAACAATAATGATCCTAAGATAGATCCTTGGGGAACTCTGCAACTTATAAGTTTTTTTTTGGTTTCATTTGTTTCAAAGGTTATGCATTGTTTTCTGTTAGTCAAGTAGTCTTAAAACCAAAGTAAGTTCAAGTTGTTTACTCCATAAAGTTCTAATTTTTTTTATAAGGATTTCATGATTGACAGTGTCAAATGCTTTGGATAAATCAATGAAAACTCCTAAGGTAAAATAATCTTTATCAAAAGCATCCGATACATGATTTACAAGCTCATTTACCGCGTGATCTGTAGAACGATTTTTTTAAAACCAAATAGACCTTTTCATAAAGCATTCCGTGAAAACGAGGCAGTGTTTGTAACAATCAAAACAAATCAACGATGTTTAAAAATGGCGATATTGTCTGGGCAGCAATGTGCTTTTTATAAATGTTTTTCAAATAGCTATGATAGATAATGCAGATACATCCAGAAAATCACAAAGTTTCAGACAATGTTTGTTTGAAAATATCGATGACGATTCGTCTGCATCAGCACAATATTCATCACCACAAAAAGAAGTAGATATCTCTTTATCGACATTATTGTCAGCGCCACTAGAGGAAGTAGACTTTAAAGTAAATGTTGCTGAAGGTAAATTAGTAAATTCATTTATCCAGTATAGTTTATACTGGATTTCCATCAATAACCAAGCTGTTTAAGCATTTTTAGATCCTGGAAAAAAATGGAAAAAACTATTTTTTATAACAACCAATAAACAAAAACAGTTCATCTACCGGACGACCAAGAGTATTAAAGTAGGTACGCGCATATAGTGATTTACGGAACCGATTTTTGTGCTAAAATTTTGTGACTCGTTTTTTTCACTTCTTTTTAGGCAGCGTGGGGTAAATGTAGTTTTGTGGAGTTTCTTTTTAGAAACATTTATACACATAGATACTTTTTGGAAAGAAGAGAAGATAATCTTTACTTTTTTAAAACTTTTATGTATGGTTATTGCACTTTTTAACAGATTATTTTGCTTCTGAATATTTGGTTGATGTTTTCACATGAATTTGTAGTCGAAGGCATGTCGTGTCCGCTTTTTTTGTTATTCAGGCAGATTTTTACATGCATTTAAATTATTTTGGCACATAAATAATTCTATTTATGTGCCAAATTTCAACGAAAAATAATTGGGAGCAGATGTTATAAGGTGCTTTATTAAATATACTGCTTTTTTTAGGTAGGGTTAGACAAACGTTTTTTGTGGTGTTTCTTTTTAAAAACATATATAAACAAAAGTTATATTTGGAAAGAAGAAAGGTTAGGCTTGATTTTTATAGTACTTTTATGTATAATCACTAAACTTTTTTATGGTTAGTTTTGCTGAAAACTTTCAAGAAAATTTCGTTGATGTTCTCACATTAATTTGTTGTCGAAGGAATGTTGTGTCCGCTTTTTTTGTTGTTTAAGCAATTTTTTACATGCATTTTCTTTGCACGTGCCAAATTTTAGCAAAAATAATTGGGAGCAGATAGTTTAAGAAGTGTAGGACTTTTGGTACCTAAATTCGGTTTTTTTTGTTTTCATTTTATCGGTAAGTGAAATACGGGGGAGGATAAGGGGGAAGCGGATTGTAATTATTGTATTATTTTAATTTTTAATATTAAAATAAAAATGGTAAACGTTATAGAAAAGAAAACTACAAAAAGTAAGTTAATATGTTTTTCATGAAAATAATTTTTTTAAAAAACAAAACAATAATAAGTTTAAAAGCCTTAATCTTTGTTTACATGACATGTAAACAAAGATTAAGGTTTTTTAAACTATATATACCAATGATAGTATATTAAAAAACATTAGGATTTAAGATTAAATCGGGTAAATCTGCAGTTAAGCGGCGTAAAATAATTATATTATTTTGCTTTTTGCGCTCTCGTTCGCGGAGACAAAAACAAAAGAAATTCAAAACGAGTTTTAATTGCTTTGAAAGGTTTAAAATAAGAAAGCTTTAAAAAAAATTATATTTTTATTTTCAAATATATTTCTATATAATAATAATATTAATTATAATATATATATATATATATATATATATATATATATATATATATATATATATATATATATATATATATATATATATATATATATATATATATATATATATATATATATATTATATATATAAAATAATGCATGTTGTATTAATATATTATATAAAAATAATATATTATATATAAATAATAAATATTAAATATTAAAAGTAATAAACATTAAATAATAAATTTGGTTAGCGCTTTGACGCTATACTGATTTAGGGGTAGGCGAGGGCTTCAATACAACACGTCGACTGACTTAGGGAAAACTCGCAAAGGAGTTGGTAACACATCGAAGGGTCAGGGTTAGGGCAGGAATCAATTTATTTTCATCATTCTTCCTTTTCCCTCTTTTTTTTCATTAAAAACTAATATCGGTACTGCCCTGCACCTAAACACTCTATCGTAATTTTTGTTTAAGCCATGTTTTTAAAAATGTGTGGCTATGAAAATAGCCGTTTTATAAATGTATCAGTTATAGAGGATACTGACGGGAAACGCAAGTAAGAAATGCTGAGAATATTGGAAACACACCTTTTTGTTATGTCAGTTCCGGTCCTTATATTGTATAATTTTTTCGACCAAAATCAAAACAGTATATAAGTACGGACGTTGTTGCGTTTTAACCCAAACCAAGCATTTCTTTTAAACTATGGTATACACATGTGTTGTTAAAGATTGCCATAACTCTATTAGAGATATTATAAACTGGAAGAATTTATTCTGTGAAGAACATGGGTGACTTAGAAAATCTGATTTATGTTCCTGTAATCCACCTTTCAGGTTTGTTGTTGAGGCTAACTCAACTCTTCTAGCTCAACTTAAGTTTAATGTGTTACTTTTAAAAGTTTAGAAATAAGTATACTTTTGAGTAATAATAACAAGTCAAATATGTTGTGAAAAAAAGCTTGTATAAGTTTTATTTTGCTTGAAGTTTTTTTTATATAAATATGTAGTAATTTTTTAAACTTTTTACGCAGGCTGTTTCCATTCCCTACCACATTAAAATGCTCAATTAAAAGGAACACTTGGATAAAATTAATAAACAGAAAAACAAAAGAAGGAAAATACTGGGAACCATCAAAAGACAGTTGTGTTTGCTCCAACCATTTTGTTGACAAAGAACCAAGCATAGAATTTCCTAACCCAACTTTAAATCTTGGATATAATGCAACTGAAAAATCTGAGTTGCTTTTATCTACAGGTAAAAAAAGAATTATAAACTATCAAAATGAACCAAATAACTCTAAGGAAGTAAAATGTTTTGCTGATTCAAGTGCATTTAAAAGTTTTGAACTTGTCATTAATGTACAAAACTCTGTTACATTTGAAAAATCAAATTCCAATTATGAAAAAATTAAAAAGTTTTTGAGCATTAAAGATTTATTATTTTCATTATTGGTATTTATTATTTACAGTTTAACAAAACATCTACTTGAACTTAAAGAACAGTTAACTTGCGCAAAACCACTTTATAAAAAACTATTAACAGAAAAAAATATAAAGTTTTATACTAATCTTGAAAATTTAGGAATGTTTCATAAACTTCATGAAAAAATTTCACCTCTAATAAAGAGACATTATCGTCAAAGGGATGAGAGCAGAGAAAGGCGTAATTTTCAATTACGCCTTTCTCTGCTCACCACACCAGAAAAAATGGGACCACCAAAAAAATTGGTTTCACAAGATGAAATGCTTTTATGTTTAATGAAACTCCGACTGGGGTTACTAACAACAGACTTATCAGACCGCTTTGGTATTTCAGAAGATTATGCAGCAGTATTTTCAAATCTTGGTTAAGGGCCTTAGCAGAGTATTTAAAATAATTTGTTTATGCACCAGACCTTGGAACAATAATTGCAACAACACCTGAAAGATTTCATCAGTTTAAAAACTTATTTGCTATTATTGATTGTTCAGAAATATTCATAGAGACACCAAAAGACTTAGAACTTCAGAGTGCAACTTGGTCTGAATATAAGCATTATAACACCTTAAAGTTTCTTATTGGTGTTGCACCAAATTCAAGTATTATATTTGTGTCAAAAGCATTTACAGGTCGAATTAGTGACAAAAAGATAACTCTTGACTCTAATTTTCTTGATCTTGTTCCAAGTTATAGTACATTGATGGCAGATAAAGGTTTTAACCTTATTGAAGAATGTGTTGCAAGAAAAATTTATTTTATTACTCCACCTGGTCGTAGAGGCACCTCACAGATGATAGCAAGTGATGTAAGCAAAACTAGTGCTATTGCTAAAGTTAGAATATTAGTTGAACAGGTTATAAGAAGATTAAAACCTTTCGAATTATATCACAGGAAGTGCCAATAAGTACCATGTATTGATGATAATCTAGTAGTTTGCTCTGCATTGTGCAATTTTAAAGAATCTATCATGACAGATTAAATTTATTTTTAAGTTTATGAAACTTTATTTTCCAGTAATAAATTAAATGAAATAAAAGAAATAAATTCTTTTAACAATTTTTAAATTTATTTCTTTGTCTTTCTTAAACTTCTGCCCTTTCTTGAAAGGATTCTTAACCTAAATTTTGACAAATCGAAATTTACAAGATTTTTTTAAAGGTTATTGCAATTGTAATGCTTGCTGAATATTTAAAAAAAGGTTTTCTTGAAATTATTGAAAGAGTAATTTTTTGTTAAATATAAATTCTAATTGGATTGGATTAGTTCAGTTGATATTTAAGAAAGGTTGAAAAATTTTTTGATTTTATATTCCAAATATTAAGTCAAAAAATTTTTGCTTTTACCCATCCTATTCCACATACTTTATTTTTAAGTTTATTGGGTATAAAATTTATACCCAAATTTAGCATATTAATGGATAAAGAATTGTTACGCTTAATAGTTGTTCATAACTTTTTTTTTTAATTAGATTTGATACATTTTTAAAATATTTATACTATAAATATTTTAAAAATGTATCAAATCTATTTAAAAAAAAAAGTTATGAACAACTATTAAGCGTAACAATGCTTTATCCATTAATATGCTAAATTTAGACAGCTTAATGCCTTATTACCATTCCTCATAATGAAATGTATAAATTTTCAGATGTGAAATAACTTTTAGCTTTCTATATAAACTTCACTCAAAAAATGTGTTCTTTAATATATATGTTTATTTCACTGCACGATTATTCACCCTGTAAGCACTATGTGTTTAATATGTCTAAGAATCGTATTAATACGTTTTTTCATCTCCTTCAAAATGTCTTGTGCCTACTAGGCATTTGATGTTGGTTATACTCTGCCGGGGTTATTCCAAAAAGACTGACAGTCCCATACATACACAAAGTTTTGTTGCAGAGCTATATGCTTTTTAGTATTTCTTTTTTTCAAATATGCAATTTTTTCTAACTTATCTTCAGATTACAAATATGTTTGGACTCAAATACCTTCCCTCTCATTTAAGCTAAAACCTCTTATTTGTCAAAAAAAAAAAAAAAAAAAAAAACTTATGCATAAGTATGTCAACCTCGGTTTCCATAAAAGCATTTTTTGATAAGGGTTTTAAAAATAATATTCGTTTGTAAGAAACCATTTTTAATACTTTAATTTTTTTTTTCTCAAAAATTTTCAAATAAAAACGATTCTGCTGAGACCCAGATTGATATTTAAATAATTTTTTTTGCACAATATTACGGGTTTTACACTAAATATATTTGAAGTCTAACATAAAAGAAGGAAAATGATTGCATAATTACAATCGCATACGTTTGTTGAAAAATTTTAACATTTTAACTTAATCTTTCAAAAAGTTATAAGAAAAGAAAAGGTTAAAACTTCACAAATTTGTAAATTATTTTATTGAATAAGATAAAAATGAAGATTTACGTACAAAGTTTTACATATGAATAATAAGTCATTTTTGACCAAATGACTAAAAAAATAATATTTATTTATTTAAAAAATCTGGTTTAGGAATTTTAATTAAGTTTTTTTCACTGTGGATTAATTCATATTTTTTCTTCAAAGATCCACTTAAAATTTCTGGAGCAACTAGTTTTCTCCAAAACAAGCATAACTTTTTGCATATATTGTCCCAAAAAAGTTCATCAAAATTAACTTTAATAGTGATACTACCTTCAAATGTAAATACAAAAAAGTAACAGTATATTTTATTTGTTATTGC